GCCCAGGGCTGGGCTATGGGCATCCCTGGAAGGACACAATGACCTCCCCTCCCCCAGTGGTGAGCACCCTCAAGGGCAGGGCCCCTCCGTATGATTGTGTCCTCAATGCCTGGTGCACAGATGAAACTCAAAAAGTCACTAGTGGGACTGGACTGTGCAGGAGGCCACAGCACCACATCCCCATCGCCATCCCTGGGCTCTGCCTGCCATCCTTCCCTCTCACCATTGGGAAGCTCAGCTTCTGGGTGATCTCCTTGTAGTCCTCATTTCTCTCCTTCACCTGAGACTGCCCAGCTGTCAGGTGGCTGCAGATGAAGCAGAAGCTGGTGCTGTGGAACTGGAGGCGGATGCCCACTGCACCTTTGTTCCCTGCCTTTCCTCCCATCCCTGTCTTCACCGTGTCAATGGCCACGTCCCTAGAATGGAAGAATACACACATTCAATTGGATTCTTAGTAGCTGAAAGGAAACACAGAGACCTGTTTTGCTCTAAAGAATATCCCCAGCTACAGAGAGAGTGGCTTCAGCTCTGAGAGTCTTATCTTGTTGAGTAACCAACATGGTGCCCATGGCTCCCATGGTAAGGAGGCCCCTCCTCTCACTGGAGACAAGTTCCCTTGTGGAAGGAGTGGAGGATCTCCTAAATGGCTCCAACTCTGATGTGCTTTGGACTCAGTGTCCCCAACAACAACAACAACAACAACAACAACAAAAACCTCACTGCTGAAAAAAAACCTCATTTCTGACTCATAGCGACCCTTCCTTGGGTTTCCGAGGTGGTATCTCTATGAAGTAGATTGCCCAGTCTTCCCTCTGAGGAGTGCCTGGTGGGTATGAAATGCCAGTCTTCTGGTTAGCAGTCACATGCCTTAGGCATTATGCCACAGAGCCCCAAGGACTCACTCAATGAAGCTAAGTACGTGTCAAGTCCTGCTTTCAGCTTCCACGTTGTCACCACAGTAGCAGAAGTGTGGATGTCATGTCACAGTCCCCCACCCCTATGCAGCTTCCACACAAAGTATAGAAGATGCCATCTTATAATCAGCACAGCTCAGGGACTAGGAAACAACCAGCTCTTTATGCTATTTATTTATTAATAATTATTAGCTATTTAGTTCAACTGTTTAAAACAGACTCTTGCTCCCACTAAAGCCCACTTTTTCCTTTTGGGGTGAAAAGATACACAACAAAACATATACCTGTTCAACAATTTCTACAAGTCCAGATCAATGCCATTGGTTATATTCTTTACACAGCCATATTGTTTCACCACCATTAATTTTTACTCTCTGTGCTCCTTAAAGTTCTCAACTGTGCTTTACAGCTGCTGTTGTCAATTTGATCCCATAGAGATAATTCTTTAAAAGAGCAAAGTGTTCTTTATTAATTTGACTAAATGGTTGTTTTCTTTATAGATGGCTTCATGGGATAGTTTCAGTTCAAGGTTTATAGATTACTTCAGGAAAATAGATCTGGATGTTCCTCCAGTCAATCTGGTTTCCATGGGAATTTGATGTCTGTTCCCCATAAAATGCCAACCTCTAATGCACACAATGAGTAGCTCCTCCACAGAGCCAGCAAATGGGTCTGAAAGCAAATGATTGAACAAATGGTGCCGACTGAGGTGCACCGATGTGTCTGCTTCCTGGACTATAACTCAGCAAACAACGTAAGGGTGACTTCTTGGGAACTGGGGTGCCAGCTAAACAAGCTTGAGCCACAGAGTAAGAAACTGAAGACACAGGTGTCTGAGACCTGAGCCCAGGTCTGGGAAATCCAGGGCTCCTCAACATGGCTTCCTTTCTCAAGGTTCACCTTTAACCTTGACCCTAACCTTACTGTGAGTCTAACCTTCATCAACCCTTACCCATGAATGCTGGACTCCTTCAGACCACCATAACACATTCAAAGGATGCAACTTAAATGTTTTCTGGAAGAGGCCTGTAAGAGGAGTAAGAACCCAAGGTACAGTCTTACAGTCTTGCTAGGCAGACCACCGATACATTTGTGGTTTTCCAAATATACTGATGCACTTGACCAGGTGTAATCCCACCTGATGAAGGAGGAAAAGGCTAGGCCACGTCTGACATGAGCAATTAGAAATAGTTGTTGGTTGCTGTCAAATTGGCTCTGACTCATGAAACCCCATGGAAATAGAATGAAACGCCCACCAGTCTTTTGCTACCTTCCTGATCGTTGGTCTGCTCAAGCCCTTCTGTGGCCACTGTGTACTTGCACTGCCTTCCACCCTAGGAGTCATCTTCCAGCACCACAGCGGACCACATGCTGCTGTGGTCCATAGGGCGTTCACTGGCCTTTCTTCCTGGCCTGCCTTGGTTAGTCTGGAAGTTCTGCTGAAACCTGTCCACCATGGGTGACCCTGCTGGTATCTGCATCCAGCATATGAAAAAAAAAAAAAAAAAAAAACCCTCGCTGCCATCGAATCAATTCTGACTCATAGCAACCTCCATTTTGGGCTTCCGAGGAGGTAAATCTTTATTGAAGTAGATTGCCCAGTCTTCCTTCCATGGAGTGGCTGGTGGGTTTGAACCAACGACCTTCTGGTTAAAAGTCAAATGCCTTAGGCATTATTATTGTTGTTATTTGCCATCCAGTCGGCCCCAACTCCTAGCGACCCCTCCTTGGGTTTCCGAGGCAGTTATCACTATAGAAGTAGGATTGCCCAACCTTCCTTCTGAGGAGTAGCTGGTGGGTTTGAACCGCCAGCCTCCTGGTTAGCAGTCAAGTGCCTTAGGCACTATGCTACCAGAGCAACATGTAAACCACCACAGTAAATGGGCAAAGGGGTGAAGGAACAATTAGAAATATGGGTGGAAATCTGAATGATATGATAAGACCAGGTAGCAATATGAGGCTGTTAGAAAGCTGAGTGCAAAGGTGAGTTCCCCCAAAACTGTAAACACACACAAGCACACACAAATCCACCTTTCCTGCAGCAAACACATTCCCTTAAGTTTCCTTTTTCTGATGCTCAGAAACCTTGAAGCAACAACGGGGTGGAGTCAGCAGTCACTTTTAAAAAGCAACAAAAGAACTGGCATTTCCTGCTGAGTTACTCAAGGCTCGGTCACAGATTCCTGTCTATAAGATCTTAACAAGGAGCCCCTTTCCTTGTGCAAAGCCGAGATGGCAAGCAGCTCTGGGAACTCTTTTCAGCAGAGCGTGGCTTTCTGGCTTAGACGTTTCCCATGTCTCATAGACAGACACCATTCTACTCGACCCAGCTTTCAGCCGGGGGTTTTGTTACATTTCTCCAGAAGAAGGGCAGATCCTGAGTCCTGCTGCAGGAAAAGAGGAGAGGAGGAGGCCACAGGACAAAATGCAGAGACCGACACTCCCCTGCTGCCCCAGATGCTGGTCAATGAACGTTCTTACCTGATGAAGGGGACGTGGTAGGGGCGCACGAAGATGTAAAGACAGACGCCCACCAGCTGTGCCGACGTCAAGAGGATGTACCTGTGAGAGCGTGAGATGGCCTTCTGGAGCTGCTCTCCCCACATCTTCCTGTTGGTGGTGCTGGAGAAGAGAGCAGAGGGCACTGTGGATGGGAGGCTGGCACTCCCACCCACAACTCCTCCAACCCCAGTCAGATGCTTTTACACAACTGCCGCCATCTTGCCTGCATCCCAACGTGAGTGCCCCGCCTGGCTCCTGTCTTGGACTCCAAGGATCATGTTGGTGTCATACTTACTGAAGGACCTCCCATTTCTACCTAACACAGGACCTTGCTCACAAGAGCTCAAATGAATTGGTTTTACTGATTTGTCTAGAAAGTTCCTTGGAATGAAGTTGGAACTTAGAAGGGTGAAAAAAAAGGTTGTAAGGAACAACAAAAAGACCAAGAAACACAATGGAAAAATGAGCAAAGGATTTGAAAAGGCATTTCTTCAAATTAAATACAGAAATGGCCAGAAAGCACATGGAAAGACATACAACACTGCTAGTCATTATTACTGGTGTAGGTGTGTGCAACAGTGAGATACCACTTCATACCCACTTGAAAACCAAAACCAAACTCATTGCTATTAAGTTGACTCGAACTCACAGCAACCCCCATTGGGTTTCCAAAGCTGAAAATCTTTATGGAAACAGACTGCCTAATCTTTCTTCCACGGAGCAGAGCGGCTGGTGGGTTTGAAGCACTGACCTTTTGGTTATCAGGCAAATGCTTTAACCATTACACTATCAGAGCTCTTTCATACTCACTCAAATAATAAAAAAACGCTCACTGTCATCAAGTCAATTCTGACTCACAGCAACCCCCTTTGGGTTTCCGAGGCAGTAAATCTTTATGGAAGTAGATTGCCAGTCTTCCTACTGCAGAGTGGCTGGTGGGCTTGAACTGCCAACCTTCAGGTTAGTAGTCAAATGCCTTAGTACTATGCCACCAGAGCTCCTTTAATACCCACTAGGATGGCGGTTATAAAAAAAAAAAAAAAAAAAAAAGACAATAACCAGTGTTGGAAAGGATGTGGAACCTGCCTACATTGTTGGTGGGAAGGTAAAATAGTGCTTCCACTCTGGAAAACGGTTTGGCAGTTCCTCAAAAGTTAACCACTGCCACAGGCCCAACAATCCAGTCCTGGGGTAGACTCAAAAGAATGACAAGCAGGGGCTCAAACAGACCTTCGTCCACCAACGTTCACGGCAGCGTTACTCACAATAGGGTAAAGGTGCAAACAAGCCAAGGTCCATTAGCTGGAAACAAAGTGTGGTGTGGCCACGGAACGAGAGTCTACTCAGCCATAAAGAGAAACAGAGTCCTGATACAAGCGATCACATAGGTGCACTTTAAAAACATTACACTGAGTGAAATACGTCAGACACAAAGGCAAATATTGCATGGGATCCCACTTATATAAAATATAACATACCTAGTAGGGAAAGGCACAGAGTCAAAAGCAGATTAGTGGTTACCAGGGGCTGGGGGACTGGAAAGGAGAGTTATTGCTCCAGGGGTACTGAGTATCTGTTGGGGTGAGGAAAAGATTTGGAGACAAACAGGGAGTTGCATGACATTGTGACTGTGATCAATGTTCATTGGGGAATCATTAAAATGACAGATTTTATACTGTATTTGACCACACACACAAAGCCAAGTTGATTTTATACAAATGTTAATCCGGTAGTTTTGATTGTTTCCTCTGTACATGGTGTTGAGAAGAAAGGCACCCTCCCTGTACCCAAGATTGCTGACCCGAAGGCACAGAAAAAGACTGGCTTCACCCTGACCCATCCCTACCCTCCAGGCACACACACTCAGCCCTAGTGCAGCAAGAATCACCTCAACACAAGGTCATGTCTTCACAGAGAAACGCAACCACAGCCAGGCCTTCCTTCCCTTCCCTTAGTCGGGATGTGTGGGGGGAATAGCATAGCTGAATATGGGGAAGAGCTGTGGGGATTACATTAACTTTACCTAAAGAAACAGATTCCCAACAAGAACAGCAAAGTTCAACAAGACAGAAAGCAACAAATGCTGGTGAGGGTGTGGAGCGACTGGAACTCTCATACACTGCTGGTGGGACCAACATGGCAATACCACTGTGAAAATGGTATGGTGCTTCCTTAAAAAGGTGGAAATAGAAATACCCTCCGACTTAGCAATCCCACTGCTAGGTTTATATCCTAAAGAAGTAAGAGGCAGGACAAGAACGGATATATGTACACCCATGTTCACCACAGCACTATTTACAATGGCAAAAAAGATAGAAACAACCTAGGTACCCATCAACAGAAGAATGGATAAGCAAACTATGGTACATACACACAACTGAATTCTATGCAACACAGAAGAATAATGTAGAAACTACAAAACATCGCATAACATGGATGAACTTGGAGGACATTGTGCTGAGTGAAATAAGTCAGTCATTGAAGGACAAATGTTGTATTAGTACACTATTGTAAAAAAGTCAAGGAAAGATATACACATAAAATGAACCTTTCTTTTTCAGCTACCAAGGATAAGAGAACAGGGGAGAGAAAATTGCTAGCAAGGTAAGAGACACACAACGAATTGGGTGAAGGGAAAAAAGGCAATATAACAAAAGTGTGTGACCAGCACAATATCACTAAAGAAAAGGGAGATGCAGAGAGGTGCACACAAGGTACAGACATCAAAAATAAATACTATTACACACAATACAATACTATTCACATACACAACACTGCATTATAAGAAATAACAAACATCAATCTACAAGTGAATACACAGGTACACAGGCAAGATGATTCAGACAAGGGTAGGCAAACAGAAATGTACCCATGACCATATGCGGATTTGGCAGATGAGATTTCTATGTACATATTTGTATGTGCTATAAAAATGTCCACAAATGGAAGAAATGACAAGATAAAAGAGCTGAACAGAAGATTTCAAAGAGCAGCTTGAGCAGACAAAGCCAATTACTATAATGAAATATGCAAAGACTCAGAGTTAGAAAACCAAAAGGGAAGAACACACTTGGCATTTCTCAAACTGAAAGAACTGAGAAAAATAAATAAGTCTCCAGTTCCAATATTGAAAGTTTCTATGGGCAAAATATTGAATGATGCAGGAAGCATCAAAAGAAGATGGCAGGAATACACAGAGTCACTGAACCAAAAAGAACTGGTAGATCTTCATCCATTTCAGGAGGTGGCATATGATCTAGAACCAATGGTACTGAAGGAAGAAGTCGAAGGTGTACTGAAGGAATTGGCGAACAACAAGGCTCCAGGAATTGATGGAATACCCATTGTTTCAACAAACAGATGCCCCACTGGAGGCACTCACTCGGCACTCGGTTATGGCAAGAGATTTGGAAGACAGCTGCCTGGACAACTGACTGGAAAAGACCCGTATTTGTACCCATTCCAAAGAAAGGTGATCCCACAGAATGTGGAAATTATCAAACATTATTAATATTGCACACAAGTAAAATCTTACTGAAGATAATAATTCAAAAATGGTTGTAGCAGTATACTGAGAGAACTTCCAGAGGTGCAAGCTGGATTCAGAAGAGGACATGGAACAAGGGATATCACTGCTGATGGCAGAAGATCTTGGCTCAAGGCCAAGAATACCAGAAAGATGTTTACCTGTGTTTTATCAACTATGCAAAAGCATTCAATTACGTGAATCATAACAAATTATTGAGAAGAATGGGACTTCCAGAACACTTAATTGTACTCATGAGGAACCTGTACATAGGCCAGGAGGCTATCATTTGAACAGAACAAGGGGACACTGCATGGTTTAAAATCAAGAAGGGAGTGCATCAGGGTTGTATCATTTCACCATACTTATTCAATTTATATGCTGAGCAAATAATCCAAGAAGCTGGACTATATGAAGAAGAATGTGGCATCAGGATTGGAGGAAGAATCATTAACAACCTACAAAATGTTGAAGACACAACTTTGCTTGCTGAAAGTAAGATGACTTGAAGCACTTACTGATGATGATTGAAGAATACAAGTTGCAATACGATTACATCTCAATATAAAGAAAACAAAAATCCTCACAACTGGACCTATAAGCAGCATCACGATAAATGGAGAAAAGATTGAAGTTGTCAAAGACTTCACATTGCTTGATTCTACAATCGATGCCAATGGAAGCAGCAGTCAAGACATCAGACTACATATAGCACTGGGCAAGTCGGCTGCAAAGGACCTCTTTCAAGTTCTGAGGAGCAAAGATGTCTCCTTGAGGACTAAGGTACGCCTGACAAAGCATGATATTTTTGATAGCCTCATATGCATGTGAGAGCTGGACAATGAATTAGGAAGACTGAAGAAGAGTTGATGCTTTTGAGTTGTGGTGCTGGTGAAGAGTGCTGAAAGTACCACAGACTGCTAAAAGGACTAACAAATCTGTCCTGAAGGAAGTGAAGTCAGAATGCTCCTTGGAAGTGAGAATGGCCAGACTTTGTCTCACCTACTTTGGTCATGTTATCAGAAGGGATCATTCCCTGGAGAAGGTTGCTTGACAAAAGAGGGGAAGGCCCTCAATCAGATGGACTGACACAGTGGCTGTGGCAATGGTCTCAAGCCTAGCAAGAATTGCGGAGCTGGTGCAGGACTGTGCGGTGTTTCGTTCTGCTGCATATAGGGTTGCTATGAGTCGGAGATGACTCGACGGAACCTAACAACAACAACATAAGAATGTCCCTTGGAACATCTGGACTGGATGTCTACTTCCATAGACTGGAAAATCTACTTCCATAGAGATACTGCCTCAGAAACCCAAGGAGGGGTCTCTATGAGTCAAAATCAACTCAATGGCAGTGAGTTTGGTTGTTTTGTATAAAAATGTCTATATGTAATAGATCGAACTGGTGGTGAAGTTATGGCAACTTCTTAACCATAATCAAACACATTGAGGAAATGAGTTGCTGGGCCTGTGGGCTCAGAACTGTGGTTGCAGGGGACATCAAGCTCAACTGGCATAACATAATACACAAAAACAATGTTCTACACTCTACTTTGGAAAATAGCAATTAGGGTCTTAACAGCTTGTGAGTGGCAAT